CTTTCCCAGACAAATTTTACTAATACAAAAATCACCAAATTTCAGTAATACCAAATTTCGCCAAATTCACCAATTACTCAAAAATTTCAATGAAAAATCACAAATTGGAGTAATGTGTGTATGCCTAGATTTTTTTGTGTATGATAAATATGAATTAGATATATTAATACGTTCATCAGAACAAAGTTACCTGCATCGAGAAGAGGAGTGATGTACATGCTTGTAAATCTGAGGCAATCTGAAAACCATAAACCAATGCATGTTTGGAGATATAAAGGCACTTTTTGGTAGTTGAGAATCAATTCATTGCACAGACACTCTTTGCACAACACAATATCTAAAACAACAACAAATAATTAAACAACAAAAAAAAATTCAATTCGGAGTATCCTGAAACAACGAATAAATAAATTCATTGCACAACATCTGAAACAACAACAAAATTCACCTAAGACTCAATTCATTGCACAAACATTATTTGTTTGGTAGTTGAGAATCCTGGAAAAACAAAAAAACAAAAAAAAACAAACAAACAAAAAAAGAAAACTTGTTTTTGGTTAGTGAGACTGTATTTTGAAACAAAATAAACAAATAAATAAAATCAAGATCGAAGAAGATAAGAGTAGAGAGCTTCTAGATCAAATCGGAGAAGTTCAAAGAAGATCAAGATCGGAGAAGATGAGAACAAATATATAAACAATCACTATCCATTTGCTCTGTTTCTCGACAACCAAACAAATGTTGTGGTGAATCGGCCATAAAGAAGGTGAGAACCAGGGAGGGAGAGAGAGAGAGAGAGAGAGAGATGAAGATGGTGAGAATGAAGGAGACAGTGATCAAAATGTTGTGGTGAATTGGTCATAAAGAAGTTGAGAACCAACAGAGGGGTTTGTTGAGAGAGACAGTGATCAAGAGGACTGAGCAGATTATTCTAGAGTATTGATCTCAGCCGTTGGATTGTTATTTAATCAACGGAATCAACGACTGAGATCTTGTTCAGTGATCAATCCCCAAGATCAATCCAAGTGTGCTATTTTGTTGATTGAAAAAAAAAAAAGAAACAAACAAACCCACAACCATTACAAACGGTCATGTTTTTATGTTATAACGGCTATAAAAAATATATATATATAGCTCTTTTTTTTTTTGTTTATAAATACAAACCTTGAATCTCAATTCATTTCACACCAATCTTTTTTCTTTCTCTCCTCTCTTTTTCTCAATTTCATTTCACAACAAACCTCCCAAAGTGTATTTTTATTTATAGTTTTTTTCACACAATCATTATGGAAGGTTCATCAAAAACAAAGAGAGGAAAATCATTCACCATTAATGAAGATGTGTCACTTTGTAAAGCTTGGTGTCATATTTCTGAAGATCCAATTGTTGGCAATTCATGATCTTATGCTCACTTTTGGGGAAGAATTTTTGAAAATTATTGCTCCCTTCAGAATGATCAATCAATAACACAAGTGTCTATCCAATCACGATGGGGTATAATCATGAAATGTTCCAACAAATTCGTGGATGTTTAGCGCAAGTCGAAAATCTACACCCAAGTGGGATGTCTTAAGTTGATATGGTAAGATTTCATTTTCATTTATTACGTTTGTTTTTATTATTTCGCCTCATATAAAAATTAACTAATTACTTAATTTAATATTTTATTGATACAGATACTTCAAGCAAAACTTTTATACCATCAAGATGAAAAGAAACATTTTGCTTTTGAACATTGTTGGCTAATCTTGCAAAACAATATCAGGTGGCAAGATGTAGCTCCTATGAACACGGTGAAGTCAAGGATACATACATCGTTTTTCCCTGATTTAGCCCCCAATTCCCCTATGGATAATTGCATTTCTCTTGAAGATGACACCAATCTAAGTGTTGGTAACAATCCAACTGTTGGTGAGGGCAGTGTCTCTGTAAGGGGTAAAAGGCCTATGGGTAGGAAAGCTGCAAAATAATTATTTCGGAGAAATCAAGTCGTTGAAGTTGAAGTCCAAAAAATGAGCATATAATTGGAGACATTTAACCAACACCTTACTGAGAAGGAAAAGAAAAAATCTGAAAGAGAAGAAAAAATGATTCAAGCACTACAGGAGATGAAAGAACTTGAGATCAAAAGACAAGAATATGAGATTAAAAGACATGAACATGAGATTAAAAATGAAGAACATTTAATAATGACTACGGACATTTCTCATTTGGACCCTCAGATGAAAGCGTATTGTACAATGCGAAAAAATGAGATTTTCGCCAAGTGGTCCGCACATGTCAGCAATCCAAATTACTATTTTCCCTTGCCTCCTGATGAATAATTACGAAAGAATGTATTTTTTAACTTTGTAATGTCATTTATTGTTTTTTAATGTATTTTTTAATTTTGCAATGTCAACCCAAATTACTATTTAATGTATTTTTTTAATTTTGTAACCAAAATTATTATTTCTTGTTTTTTTTTTTTTTGTAGTGATATGTTTTTTGCTGGGGTGAATTATATTTTTTTTTCCAATTTTTCATTTTTTTTCATTTTTTATATTTGTCTAGTGAGGAATAATATAAATACATAATTTTTTTTACAAACAATTAAAAAAAGATCATAAAAGGCAAAAAATAAACAAAAATAAAATTAGAAAAAAAACCTGTATCCAAACAACACCTACAAACTTGGAAGGAAAGGTGGTTGAGATTTGACAAAATAACAAATGACAATTGAAGCACCATTACTATAATTTGTCAAAATAGCACTATTTATTGCCAAATTATAGCAATAGCAATGGCGTTATAGCAACAACAATGGCTTTATAGCAACAATAGTTGGAGATGCTCTCCAGCTGAGTTTCTCATTTGATTGTGTGGTAGGAAATCAACACCCACATAAATTACTTTTATTTTCCTATCTCTTTCCTTTTTCCTACGTAAATCTAAAATCCAAACATGCAAGTCTAGCAAGCTCTCTAATATTGTGCTTGTTTGGCATTTTATCCAATCAAATCACAATTTCAATGCTCCAACAAGTTAGGCAATACATTAGACATTATACCTCATCTGCAAGGGGACTAGCTACAATTGGAGAACCAAGAGAGACTAGGGAAATGCTTTCTCTCTGTAATGCCTACATGGCTAACTATAGAGTATTGTCAGAGTACAAGTTAACCAAAGTGATTTGGCAAAATAAAAAATATATTTTTGCATACTTTTGATTGGCAAAATGCCTCACTAACGTTTGGCTAGATGACATCTCAAATGACCGGCATCACCTTTATCAATCTTAATTATCACCCTTGTCTACCAGTATGTCAATCGACATTCGTCCGAATGACTGACAATCAGTATACACAAATTTAAGCAATTTAGGTGAGCCGAAATTTGGTAAATGTAACAATCTTATAATAATTACAAAGATATCTATAGATGTTTGTGAAATATAAAGCCAAACACAAGCCCCACTTTATTTTATTGAACCCCTTGCCGGTTAATAATATATATATATATATATTTATTTATTTATTTATTTATTTATTTCGATTCTATGTTGATGTAAACTTTCAACCTAGTTTATATTTCTAATCTTTCAAATCTAATTTAACCCTACACCGCTCAACATTATTCACTTCTAAGGACCACTACTACCAATCTTTAAAAAAATTATCACCGCTGCCTCCATTCATTCCTGTTACCTTATTATCTAACTTTTCTGTCCATTCTATAACTTGCAGTCTTTGACCAAAAATAAAATAAAAATAAAAATAGAGCAACAAAGAGAAAATCATGAAATAATAATAATAATGGGGTTACTGCTGTGCTTTGGCACAGCAATAACTGTTGTGTCTCAATTGGAGGTTTATTATGAACTTATGTTTATGATCTGAACCATCATGTTGTAGGGTTCGTTAAGTACTTCATGCCTACCAAAAATCATATCAATCGGATATCAATAACTATATAATCCAATTACATTTATCATAAAAAAATAAATAATAAGTTTTTCTTTTCAGAAATAGCATAAAAAATATGACATTTGATCATATAGTTATTAATCTGATTAATATTATTTTTGGTAGGAATGAAGTACTCAACGAACCCTACAAAATGAACAGTTTGAATCATAAAAATAAGCTAATAATAAATCTCCAACTGAGACAACAATTACTACTGTGCCAAAAGTACAGCATTAACCCCATTCCCGAATGTGGTCACAATGGTTATTAGAAGAAATGCTAGGCATCATGGTGGCGTAGATGGATGGAGGTAGTTAAGAGAATGAAGAGAGGTTGGGTATAGTGGATAAGGCAAGAATGCGGAGTTGAAAGTAACAATAACAAAATGCTAGATAGAATTAGAGTTTCATAAGGTTGTGAATAATAGTAGTGTTGGAGTTAAAAGGTTAGTATTCCAAGAGGCAAAAAAGAAAATTTCAAAATATTTAAGTGGAGAAAAAAAAAATAAAAAAATATAAGCAGGACGCAAAGTGCATTATTTGGTATACCTTATTGTAAGGTAAAAAATGATAATTAAAAAGTAAAAGGTAAAAAAATATATTTCTTCTAATTTTTAGATAATTAATTTTTTAAAAAATTTATTTAAATTATTTATGCTTAATAAATTATAAGCATACACTTCACTAATAATCGATCACAAAATTTTAAATTAAAATAAATTATAATAAGTTTATCTAAGTTACAATAAACATAATCAATATGGGGGTCATAAGGATATAGGGTTCGTTTGAGATGTGGGTTGGTTTGCTTTTTAATTTTTTGGTTATTTTAACTTGGGATTATAATTCTCGTTTGGAATAAACTTTTTGACTTTTTTAATTTTTGTGAGAAATAAAATAAAATAATTATGAGTTAGATGTGATATTTTATCATATTTAACTAAAATAGTCAGTCATGTATGACTATTTTAGTCCAAAGTAATATCCAAACGGAGCCATAGTATAAATTTACCAATAAACCCTTGTCTTGCAAATCTTTATATTGGTCAGATTTGACCCAATGAGTTCGGGTCGGGTCGGGCCAGTAACTGGACTGCCACTGCCTTCCATTGTCAGGACTCAGTTGCTCCGCGGCAAGCCCTAATCTCATTTTTTTTTCCCTTCAGCATTTCAAGCAAACCACCCCTATCTCTCTCGCTCTCTCCACTGTTTGTGGCTTCCTCTCCTCCGATCTTGTAAGTTTCTTTCTCCACTGTTACTTACCTTTACAGAGTACTCCTCTACTATTTTTATATATCCCTTTTATGTATGATTCTATGAACTGGAATTTCGGTTGCACACTCCTTGTTGGGTGTTTGCGGAGATTAATTTCTTTGATTTCTCAGTTTGATTCGTAGTTTTTTTTTTTTTTTTTTTTTTTTTTTTTTTTTTTTTTTTTTTTTTTTTTTTTTTTATTTTTTTTTTTTTTTTGGGTATCTTTATCTTCTATGTTTGTTTCGACTTCTGCATTGCATATGAGAATTGTGAACTGAGCTAACAAAAATATTCAAACAGGTTCGAAGAGGACTTCCCTTCTTTGAATACGCAAAGAAAGATATAATTACTACAAAGCAGGTAGCTAATAAGAGAGAGATGCCAGGCCAAGAGACTGAGAAGCATCTTGAAGACTGCTCTGTTTCCAAGTCAGATGTTTACCTTTTTTTTCTGTTCACCTATTTAGCATATATATATGATGTGTATTCATTATGCCTAATTAACTGAAAATGATGCTTTGAAAATCACAAAGTATGCTCTCTAAGTTTGTTTCATAGTTTCAATTATCTGAAAGTAAAATGGAAATTGCACAATGGCTATTCAGATTTAGGATATAGGAAAATTCGTGTTTGAAATATTTTTTTGGGATTTTAAAGTTCAAAGTTTAAAACTTTTTAAAAGAGCATATAATCCCAAAATACAATTAGGGAGAAGCCAATGGAAATTCTTTTTTTCTTTTCCATGTATTCTTAAACAACGTGTTTGGTTTACTAGCATTTGAGAAAAAAAACGAAATATGTTGTACCTAGTGCACTTGACTTCTGCACCCAATAGGGTTGGGGAGAAGCAGAGATTACTTCATTTTTTTCTAGGAGAGGTTGATTCTATGACTCAAATCTATGCCACAATGATGGGGGAAAATAGTACTTGATATTGCAGGGTCCCAGATCACAAATTATATATCGAATATAGACGGTTTAGGTGCAAGGGGGCTTTATTTGTAACTTTCCTTGTATCTTGCATTGCATCTAAGAGAAATGAGCACATAATCAAGGTTGCCTAAGCATATTTTCAAATAATTTTGTGTGGATACAACTTGAACATATGATGATATGTGTTCAATTTTAAATCTCAATTGGCACTTGATATTAGTTATGCAATGTACATGTGATTGTGGCAACCATGTCTCTTGACAAGACATTCTGGAATTTCATGTAATGATGCATACCTTGTTTGTCATGTTCCTCATTGAAACTCGTTGTTTAATTATTACTTCAAACAATCACCTTTTCTTCTTACAATATTCTGTTTTTTTTTTCCTTTTCTTTTATGGGTGTTTTTATGGGGTGGGTCGGTGTGTATGCTTTTAGGTTGAATCATGACAAAAACCTTTGGTTCTATAATTATCTAGAGAGGAATTGGAATTTGGTTACTAATGGGGAGAAAAGGTTGACATTGAGTTGGAAAAATAGAAATCTATGTTGTGACAATGGAAAAAAATATGGTGACAAGGATAATCTTTATTTGAAATTTCTTAATTCTCCCAAATAATATGTGAATGATTTCTAATAAATTGGTTATATTTGTGTTAATTCGCGTTTCATTGAATTAAATGCAATAAGATCAGGTTGTGAATGGTCTATGGCAATGTGAATAAAAATTTGAAACTTGAATAAAAATTTAGAGGATTTTACTAAATTGGTTAAGCTATAATATTGACGATTGAATCATTTAGTCTATGTCATATATGCTTTGTTACTTGTGTTGTGTATTAGTAAGCTGTAGTTTTCCTTATCAGCTTTGAACTAGTTTTGATGTTAGAAATCTAGGTGAATGTCACTTTTGGCCATTGGTTTGGCACATCAACCATGTGGATGCCCATTATTGTAGTTTAATTCTGTTGCTTCTCTTTTACACCAAATCTATTGTATCTAGTTATTTGAAATTATACTGGTTGCTAGCAGCAAGCAGCCTGTGAATTAGATGACATGATCCAAGAAGTGGTACACTTTCATTTATTTCACAATGGGTAGTTGGAAACCTCCGGATTGTCGAACCAAGCATAACTTTTAAACGATGGTTTCAAATGGTTTAATTGAAAATCATCAGAACTGCAGTGTCACTCATTTCTATATAATTTCTGGTAGAATAAGCTGTTAAAATTGGTTTGAGTAAAACATGCTTTGTTCATTAGTTGGTTTCTGCTAAATATTTGCATATATGATCATCACATTGAATTTTGGTTTTGACATAATAAATGTCCATCTTTTATTTTTGAGTCTTTTTAGTTGAATTGTCATGCATCGTAAACTTACTAAATGTGGAATTTTCTGCAGTGCACTGGGCACATGGGTGTTCTCCGTTGCTGGTGCTTTGCTCGCAATACCAGTGGGGATAAAACGGAAATCATTGGCACCCCTCGTGTTCTTTGGCACAACTGGTACGATGCTAGATATAATCATGGGAATTAGCCAATGTGAAAGGGAACATGCAGAACGCCAAATGAAGCTTTTAGAAGAACAAAATGCTGCTGCTATGGGTGCTTTGACAGAGACAGGAACCGAGTCTTGATATGAACGTCATGTTCTCATGTTGAAAATTTGTTCTCCACAGAGTTTTTTTTTTTTTTTTTCGCTCTGATATTAAATAATGTTCTTAGTTTCGAAGGAGGTCCATTTATGCTGTAAGATCATGTTCTGAAAAGCCATGAAGTTGTTACAGACGCTGAATCAGTTTGAATCCTCTTTGGAGCAACTGCATTTTTAGATGAATATCTTTACGGAATCCAATGCCTTTCTTTGAATCCTGTTTCACTGAGCTAGCTTCGATTCACCTTATCTAGTATCTTCATTTATCAGGGATCTCTTTAACAGAAATTACTTCGTCAATTATTCAATGGCAAACCAAGTTGAAATTGTTACCATGACCAAAAAAAGAGTTGAAGGCATACTGACTGTTAATGAGTTTCCCTAAAATAGTTCCTAAATACCAATTATTCAAATGAGTTTCTTGTGTTTTCCAGAAAATGAAAATAGAAAACATAACGAAAATACAACCAAACTAATTGGTCAGTAAACAATAAGAACCTGCAAACCAACAAAGCCTTGTATTCCAATCAATTAGACTTGGATGCATGAGTTGTTTTTTGCTATTTTGTTGCAACTATATGCTCATATATATAGATATAGATATATAAAGAAGTATAACAGTAACCTAAACCAAGGACGCCATCATTCCAAAGCACAGTATCGACACAGAAACCATTTCAAATCTCCCGCTTTCCCAATCTCTGCCCACATTGACTGTAACTTTGAATTTCAGAGGACTATTCTTCCCTTGTTGCATCAAAACTTTAAGCAATACTAACCAAATCAAATACAAGTTAGGGGCTGCAGACTTCTGTTTTCCCTTTCGTCCCAAGCTCTTACCTTCCCGTGGAGGGTGAAGACAGTTAACTTCACTCTCGGCAGCATTCAGCTGAGTAGTAGTAGCTCTTGCATCAGAATGATCCGTGTTCTGAACATTGTTTGGATTAGGGGTTTGATCATGATTTCGCTCTTTATAACAGGAGTATACTCTCTCAGCCTTGATGTTTCCAAACAAGAGTTCAGCAGCCTTGTTTGTGACAAGGAGAGGAATATATTTCGAGTCATCCCATACGTATAACTGCAAATGAAGACAGAAATCAGTTACGCTTAGCAAGTTTATAGGAGATTGCCACATTCAAAAATAATAATAAATAAATATATAAAATTGTATGATTCTAGTACGAAGTCCAAAGATAATATTCCAATGCTCACATGGTGACAATCAGCCGCCAATTTATTTTCAAAATAATGAAGAAGAATCAATTGCAAATTTATCAACAAGAAGAAAAAACACCTACCACTTTATTCAAGTTGATCCATATTTAGGTGCATTTGATGTTATAGTTAGGAAGATCACCAAGAATTTCAAGGAGTATTAAGATATGGGGCTTATCTCTAACTGTGTATTTCCATATCTTTTTTCTTTTTCTTTTTATTGGCACTGGGGTGTTCGGATCGAAGCCCGACTAATCCCCAGGAGTGCACAGGCCCTTGGCGAAGGTCTCGATCCCTAAACCTTAGAGGGAGCACACCTCCAAGACCAAGGGCTTGCCACCAGGCCAACCCTTTGGGGTTAACTGTGTATTTCCATATCTTAACCTTAAATTCAACAAAGATGGAACTCACTGAACTGTGTATAACAAATTTGTATTTAGATAATTTTGTGAAGTGAAAAATTGACACGACTTCAAAAAAAGGGGGGAATACCAAACTGGTGCTCTCCCTTTATATATTAGTATAGATTATAAGCCAAGCTGAAGCTCAATGTGGTACTTGGTATTCAAAGGGTTTTCAAAGGACCTTCGATTAAGAGATACAATGTTCCACAAAATGAAGTACGGTAGATTAGGAGAGTTTAGAAATTATCTTTTGAAATTCTTATCTTCAAGATGATGATACAAGTAAATGCATAAAGAGAATAAGCCAATTATGAATAATTAAACAGAAGAATCAAGTAAATTTGCAACCCTGGACAGCAAGTTTTTTCCATAAAGTATACGACATTCATAATGTCACAAGTAAGATAGTCTCCCATAAAAATCAAATTAAGACCAACAAGGCAGCCATACCATGAAGGGTCTGTATATTGAGGTTATTAAATGGAGGTGACTAGTGCTTTTTGGACAATAGAGTGGAATGGTGCTTTGGTCGAACGTAGTAGACCTGCAAACAAGGATGGATGACACGCTAATTCAGTAACTAATATGATCATGATAAATCATGAAACAGTTGAAAGCAGAACTGAGTCTTCTCCATGCCCCAACTCAGAATTCAATGGAGAGCCACATAGTTGGCAACCAGAGCAAATGAGATCTTCAGTCAAATTATTCTCTCCCGTTGTCCATAATCTCCTACTGATGAACATCCTCTCCTCCTCAGATTCATGAAGATGTTTCAGAAAAATTTCACCAATGGATGCATAGAAAGTAGCCTTGCAAGAATCAGTTAGATGTGACACTTCTAAAAGAGAAAAGAAGTCCTGAGAGCCTCTCTCTTCATGTACTTTCCAGTTTATAGATTGTTGCCTCATAGGCTGCAGAAGTTATAAACAGTGAAAATCAAACATGTATCATGCATGAAACAAGGAACTGGCTGATTAAAATACTTCTTTCTAAGAACTTAAAAGTCAAAGAGAATACTTGGTGCCTGTGCAATTGCACATTGCAAAGAGTAGACCCAGTTTGCTGCACCCACTCAATAACTTTCCTCAGCTTTTCCTTTGTTCTTACACCAACTCGACATTCCCCTATGATGCCCTCCACACCTAAAACATGAAGATAACATCTTCTATTCCATTTATCGAGTAGAGTTAAGTAAGTTGCATTTGCTATGATAGATTAACAGAAACATAACAAGGCAATCAAGTGAGATATCATTATGATTGCAATCCTAATATCCACTTAAATTGAAACATATGCATAAAATAATATGAATAAATTCAGTGAATTCACGGCAAGCAACATCCCAAGCAAAGAAAGCCATTTCAAACTACCAAGTAACCTTAAGCAACAGAGAAAGGACATTATGCCACCTTACCACGAAACCAACAGAAATAAAATAAAAAATAAATCCCTTAAAACAAGAGGAAAAGAACACATACCCTTAGAAACAAGTGATTCACTAGGGTGGACTAAACATAGTAAAGATGAGCATTGGATGGTTCTGGCCTCAACAAAATCTCCAAATTTTGTAATCTTGACATCTGTATGATGTACAAATATATCAAAACTCCACGTCAGACAAGAATCAGTTATAGTATTTACGATACAAAACTTCAAAACTGGCATAGCATAAAAAGAAAGGAATTAAATACATTGACTACCTGAGAGAATAATATTTCAATGAATAAAATATGCAGCCAAATTCCAAGAATGAAAAAACAATCAAAGCTTAAACAATGCCAATTAAAAAATACTAAATGGACGCAGAACAACCTGCACCACTGAACAGAAACCGAAACTGAAAGAAAGAAAAGAAGCAGCAAACACTAACTGCTTTAGATATACAACCCCATCTACTCAAATAACTCTTCAGCCATCTCCAATGGTAGCTGTTATTGCCAAAATTTGGCGGCAGAAAGACCAAACCTTGCTCCAATGGCAAGTTATGGCAGCTGCCAAATTTGGCAAATGCCAAAGCTTGTGTCAAATTTGGCACACACAAATTTGACGCAAGCTTTGGCAGCTGCCATAACTGCCAATTCACAAAAACAGCTGCCCTCCCTCTCCCCCTCCCTCCCAGCAAAACATCCCTCCCTCTCTCCCGTCCACCATTTTTGCAGACAAAAGCTGAAAACTGGTGTGGGCAGGTCGTCCGACTCCAAACACACACCAATTTTTGTGTCAAAATGGCAAAAATGACAAACCTCCATTGGAGCACAATTGCTATAATTCTACCATTTTCTACTGTTCATTGCCATAATTTGGCAATGGCAATGCTATTATAGCATTTGCCATTGGAGATCCTCATGTAGTTTCTATATCTTATGTATGCTATACACTTATGTTATTACAAATTCAATAATTCCAGAAGCTATATTACATGAACTTTTCTAAATCAAATGGATGAAGTACTCATGTTGGATGCTCAACACTTAGGTAAGGGTAAGAGATATGTGTCCAACATGTGCAGTTGAACATTGACCCATAGAAAATATTTAATAATTCAAGTTTAGCATATAACTACGCATAAAACTCCATATTATGCATAAACTGCTTGCTATAAGACATTTTGTAAATACCATTTTTCCCGAGAAAAAAAAAAAAAAAAGTATATATTAAGTAATATGCATATTTTGCAATGTCCACACGTCCTTGGACATGAGAATTAAATGAATCTGACACACATATCTGCACTCAATATCCATACCCAAGTCCACTTAACATAAACCAAAGAGAAAATGTATTCCACTCGTGACTTTTTTTTCATCATGTGATCTCATATTGATTCCTCATCCCAAGAAGGAGGTTCCTGATGCCAAGTTCTAGAGCTTTTGATTTCAGCTTTATTTAGAAGGTCTCTTAGTGAGGCTCTTTTTAGACCAAATTAGAATATTAGACGAGATTCTTCCTGATGGCTCTTGAGGGAATTGCACCCTAACTGTCTTGACGCTTTGGGCTAGGATATTTCCCCTTTTTGCTTGTTAACAAGCTTCCAAGGGTTTTGCAATGGGAAATTTGGCTATAAACTCCCCTTACCTTCCTTTCATTGTTAAAAGGATTAAGAAAAAAATTATACTTTCTAAACCCCCTCATAATTATAAAATCCTGCATAAAGGACAAAATTTATTATTTAAATATTTTATCAGACTATTATACCCTTGGCTACACTTCTCAGATCTACACCATTTTGATGGGGAGAAGTTCAAATCTGCAGATTCGGCGGCGCGAGAGAGAGAGAGAGACGTACGGAGAACATGGAAGGAGAAGCGCGGCCCAAGGGATCGAAGAGATTGCGGGAAAAGATTGGGAGGAGGAGCACCAAGAGGCCGGCGAATGCAACTCTCTGAGTCTGGTTGCTATGGCTGTCTACCTTCATATCTTACCCTAGATATGTGTATATGTATATATATATATATGCAGATATCAGAAGAAGAAGTGGAGCATCACTAAAAGTTGAGGAATTTTTTGCGCTGTGGAGTGTCTGCCTTCACGTGTTCACAGAAGAAGAACAACTGGCTGTCTGAACATGTGTTACTGTGGAGTGTCTTGCTTTGTTCGTGAGAGGTTTGGAGGTTGTTGAACACGTGTTCAATTCTAGGAATTTTTTGTTTGTAAGCTCTAAATGTTGAGCATCACTAATCCAGAATATTGAATTTTAATTCTATTAAATATTGTCTAGGTTTTATCACCATCATGGTTACATTCCTCATTCAAGATTTTGAGAATATATGTATATATATATATATATATTTGTGTGTATGAGTGTTGTTGAACATATGTATTCTTTTCATTGAGATTTGTGATTGTTGATCGAGTTTTAGAAGTTTTTCTCCTCAATTAGATATGTTGATTTGTTGATTAATTTGTTTTGTTTTTGTTTGTTTTGTTTTTGATTTATTTTTGTTGTTTTTTATCAAATTTCATTTGATAGAACCAGAGTAAAATTTTACTCTGGTTCTATTGTTCTGTTTTTTCATTTAACAGAACCAGAGTAAAATTTTACTTTTATACAGAGTAAAATTTTACTTTTATGTAGAGTCTAACATTTTACTAGTTTTTCAGAGTAAAATTTTACTTTTATACAGAGTAAAATTTTACTTTTAGCTTCAAAGTCTCACAGTTTACTCGTTTTTCAAAGTAAAATTTTACTTTTATACAGAGTAAAATTTTACTTTCATACAGAGTAAAATTTTATGAGAGTAATATGGTAAAAGAAACAAGTTTTAAAATATTAGGTGGTTTTGAAAGTACTTATATAATTCTTGTCCTTTTGAAAGACAAATTAGATAGTGAGGGGGCTATCACCAAATCCCCCTTTTGCAATTTGATTTCCTCAAGTTTCTAAATGGAATTTTTTTTTTAATTCTCCTAGATTGGACCTTTTGGGGGGTTTTGAGAGCATCTCTCATGCTTTTATTAATTCCCATTAATATAAAATTCGGCAAGAATCCACAAACCTCAGAGCTGTTTGCTTGTCAAAAGTTTATTTCCACTGAACTTACCTCAAATTCGTCACTCACTGTCTTGCCAAGTAGCCACTTTATAAACTCAACATCAGTGCGAAAAATGTAGGTTTTCCAATGAAATGTAAAGGCAAAAAGGGGCAAAAAAATGTTCTCAAACCAATAGGACTACGTTGTGAAAACCCAATCACCACAAAACATACCCAGAAACAAAAACAATGAAAAATCACAGTAACAAACAAAATAATCAGGCAAACAGAGTAGTGAGTACATATATACAGCTATGCTTGCGAAATCGAGCATAGTTGAAGCACAAGAGGGCCCAATAATCACATGCTGCTTTCAAATATATGTAATTGTCATTAAAAAGAGCTTAATTAGGAGCACAAAAGAAGACCTTACTTTGCAGCAAAACAATATCACCAGCAAAAACCATGGAACCAATTTGCTTTTGCCATATGGATACAGAAAAAAATCTGCGTGTATCGTCACCGACCTGAATGTCTGTCCTAATAACTTCTCCACCTCCTTTCGCCATCTTATACTGCCCAAAATTGAAATCTTTCAAATTTACAATCCCAAAATCAAACCAACTAATTTTATTTCTTCAAAGCTACAATTTCAAGTACACACTATACAATAATTGAGCAAATAATAATGCTTGAGAGAGAGAGAGAGAGAGAGAGAGAGAGAGAGAGACCTGAATGGGAGTAGATCTGTGAATGAAAACGAGTAACTGAACGTAATCGCCAATGTGAGAAGAAGCTTTGGAGAGATCGATCAGAGGTCCGTACCATCCGATTGCGGCCATAATTATCGATGTATATATAATGATAATCCTATCATTCTTCTTCTTCTCCTTCTTGGCTCCTCTGAAAATATTTTGGCGCGTAAATTTCTGTTTAGGGATTTAAGGGAGTGTTTGGCTGCAAAGGTAATTCTAGCCACTACTAGTTGGGGGATAACCTTATGCAGGGCCAGGATTTTTCATTTTGTATAAATGTGATTTATTAAATTATTATTATTTAAAAAATAATAATAAAATTCATAAAAAGTCAAAAAGTATTAAAAAATCAATTTCCAAAATGAATCTCCCTGGATTTGGGGATTTGATTTTTTTTATTCATTTTACGATTTTTTTAACTTTTTTAATGAGATTAAAAAATAATTAACAATGTGTTTGAGAATATTTATTTTTTCTAATTTGATTATAAAAAAAAAACGTGAATAAGTGATATATATAATTGATCGCGCTAACATTTCTTATTACAATTTTTCCATCATTTTTACTTAATAGTTTTGATAGAAAATAAATAAAAATATTACAATTTAAATTGACAAAATTAAAAATTAAAAACTTATTTTGTTACAAGGGTTAACACTCTTCTTCTTCTTTTTTTCCGTAATTTCTAATTTACATGTAAATGAAACTCATAGTATGCATAAATGTATTGTGCATCATTATTAAACAGAAAAATAGTGAATCTCACGAGTATATTTTAGGGCCTGGCTTTGGTCCAGTTCACCATCGGACTGGACCGTGCTGTTGGACCCTTGGGGGCCACCACGGGTCCCTTTTTTAAAATCTGAACCGTCAATATGTAGAACTTGTCAAGTACTATATGGCTGTGAAAAATCACGTTGATCGGATGTCGATAGCTATGTGATCAAAACAGTTTTTTTATCAACCGTTAATTTATTCACCGTCCATTTTTTTTATACAAAACTAATTTGATCACATAGCTATCGATATTCGATCAACGTGATTTTTCACAAGCATATAGTACTCGACAAGTTCTACACATTCAACGGTTCAGATTTTCAAAACGGAACCTGTGATAAGCACTCACAGGCCCAACAACACAGTCCAGTCCGATGGCGGACTGGACCAAAGCCAGACCCATATTTTATTATGAACTTCAAAACCTGCTTGTCTATTAGTAAAAATCTGTTTATGTACATAAGACGCTGTTTATATATAACATACATAATTTTTAATGAGATTGAAAACTCAATCCGAGAAATAGTAACAAATTATCATAAGATAAGCCCCAAATATAATCTCTAAAGCCATGCTTGTTTCACAGTTTGAGGAGTCAAATTTGACTATTATGGCTGTGAATCCCATCCAAAACATGTTTAGTAGTGAAATGGAAGGACGGTTTCATAATCTAAGGGGTTTAGTAATCCCCTCAATGGAGGATTAGTTTACCTGAATTTTAGATGAGATAAAAAAAAATAGTAAGAGAATGAAATCTATTGTACATAATAAAGAAAAAATTTAAATTAATTTTTTTTTTTTACCAAGTGCACCTGTTTGTTTTAATATTTGTTTTAATTTTTTTAATATAAAAATAATTCATTTATTTATTTTATATAAAAATAATTTAACAATCTCATCACTAACTATCTCTCATACTATCATCAAAACAAACACACTTTTACTTAATTCCCTTACTAACAATTCTCACATTAACAATTTATTCACTAAACAAACGTAGCTAAGTGTTAATGAAGACATATATGATGTACCAGCATGTCTAGTAGTAAAAATCTGTTTATATATAACATAACATAATTTTTAATAAGATTGCAAATATTGAAAAACTCAACCCGACAAATAGTAGCTAGTTATCATGAGAAAAGCCCCCCCATATAATGGCTAAGTGTTATTGAAGACAAATATGATGTTTTCTTAACACCAAACAAGCAAACAATGTTCACAAGAATGGCCCAAACTGCTCCTATGAAAATATGAAACATAATTAAATGACACATCATTAGCATTGCAACAACGCAATGTCGGTTTAATTGTCCCTTCAAAAATTTGCTAAATTGCTGACCACCAGAAGCACAGCAATACACATATCCCAAAAAGTTCAAGCAAAGATTGAAAGAGTATATGAAGCCGCAACAGTCACCAAACTCCAGAGAGCCAAGATGGTGCATCAATGTCTTGGAAACTAATTCAACTACAACAGACCACCCAACATTAAAAACTAGTTGGGTTGTGCAGTCTAACAAAGCTAAAGCTTCCGATACAAAATGAATTAGACTTGGACCCAGACTCAGACTCCAACTCCAATGCATGGCACTGAAACACTGGACACAGGCATGTCAACCGAGTTATCCTGCGTGGAAATGGCCAACAAAAACAAAGGCCTATTCCCCACAAGATGTATATCCAATATCGAACACATAATTGCATCAGCCATAGATTATTCAGTTTCAAAAACTACTTCAACGATATTCTATGTCATATCTACAACAGAGATTCCATTCCAAAAACAAAAAACGAAACTCTGTTTCCACATCCTAATTCCGTCAACTGCAACAACTAGTATATGACTCCCAAACTCCAAATTACCTGAAATATGAGCTCATGTACAGTCTTGCAACTATATCAATGGGACCATCATCCCCACCAACAGCATGAAGAGCAATGGGAATTGTTGAAAGAAGGGGTAGCGTGAGGGGGAATACAGAAGGCTCAATTTCAATGGCTTCTGCAATTCCCGATTTTGATATGGGTGCCGCATCCAGTGATGCTACACCAGTATCCCCTACTATTTGAGATGCACAGCCGCTGCTACTTGGTTCAATATTCCCTTTTGCACAGCCCTTGTCACCACTATCTCCAGGAAAATCCAATGGCAACTCTAATGGACTCATAATAAGTGCAACATCTTCAATTGTCCTGTAGTTACCTGGGCTACCTCTCCTCTGGAAGCGTTTATGTGTGGATAAATTGAGCAACAATGTGGATATTGATTCAAGCCATTCTACATTCAGGTCGTCAACTTCATCATAATATATACGCCGCTCAATCTAGAAGCATGTTAACAAGCAGGACACACATTAACTAAGGAGAAGGAAATAAATAACTAAAATGGGCTAGTTACACCAAAAAGCCCCCAACTATTAGTGAATATTAGTTTACCCCCTCATCCATAAATCCGTATATTTTGACGCCATCAACTATAAAAATGCATCACTCTTACCCCCTCCAAATATGGGGACATCTGTACGGTTTTTATAGTTGACGGGTCAAACTGTACGGGTTCACAAATGAGGAGAGTAAACTGATTTTCATTAATAGTTGAGGAGGTCTTAGTGTAATTAACCCTAAAAAAATAAGAGATGGGTAGGGAAACTACTCACAGCTAACTTGTGGACATATATTGACATGAATCTTGGCCCCAGACCCAGTACCCTTGCTTCACTCAATACAATCTGCACAAGACCTAACAACAGTTAGGAGGATTGACAGATAAGCAAATAAAACTATGGTAAATCATAAGAGAAACATAATTTAAATGCAGTACAAGTTCAGTTATAAAAGTGGACGAGGACTACATTCGAAAAGAGAACAAATACCTCCTTTTTCTTGAGAAGAAACCACATGTAGAGTTTATCACTAGCATCTTTGACATGCTTACTAGCCAGCTTCCTCTCATTGCAATGAGCAGCAACGTCTGCAAGGATTTCCATGCATGGAATTCTGTGTTTTGATGCTGCAGCAGATAATGCTTCCTGACCTTCACTCGATTCTGCTGCATCTTTATCAAAACAAATACCAGTGAAGCACCATCTTGTCAATTCCTTCCCATTCTTCAGTTTTTGCATAGTTCTTTTATACTTCAAATACATCTCTTCAGCTTCAATTGTAGCAGCCAATGTCCGGTGTACTACAATATCCGGATACCTACGCAGCGGTGAAGTAAAATGAGTGTAGAGAGGAACAGCCAAAGCATAGTGCCCCCAATCATTTTCACTGTCTTTTAAATCTCCACTACAAAAATATGTTGCCAATTGCATCGGCTTCGTAGCATACGACAAGAGAATATTAAACAACACAGAATCATTCTTGAGTGTCTCTCTAATCCGCTCTAATGAATGGTGAATGTGGCCTGAAGAAGAAGTGTCCAATTCGAAACCATGTTTGCTACAAAAAACTTCAAACTCTCTCAGCTTCCGCAAGTTAGGTTCCGGATGCCTACGCAACAATGCACTATCAGGATAAGCTCTAGTTATTACTTCTGCAGCTGTCCTATTGGCCAAAAGCATAAACTCCTCAACAAGGAAATTTGAGTCCGTCCTTTCTGAAAGTATACCATCGTAAGGATTTCCATCTTCGTCGAATAAGAAAACCAGTTTGGAGCTTTCCAAACGCAATGCCCCATCATCAAACCTCTTCGCCTTCAATGTTTTTGAAATTTCATGAAGGCTTTTAACAGATCTAATAACATCAGACCATTCAAACTGGCCATGCAATTGAGGGCAACCGTCTAAGGTACTAAAACTACCCACATTAAATAGCCCATCAATAATGGCCTGAGCATTTTCATACGAGAGTTTGCAACAAGATTTTATGACAGTACGGCCAATCCACTGGTCCAGAATCTCACCAGCAAGAGTCATGTCCCAGAAAATTGAGAAGGTGAGTCTGTCTACTCCAGGATTAAGTGATCCTAGTTTCTCTGAAAGCAATGGGGGCAACATAGGTAATTTACCCCGCGATAAATAGACATTAGTAGATCGAATTTGAGCTTCTATGTCTAATGCTGTGTCGGGTTGAACAAAATATGATACATCAGCGATGTGCACACCGACTCTGAAAATGCCATTGGATAGCCTTTCGACTGATAGTGCATCATCAAGATCAGTCGCAGTGGAAGGATCAATAGTAAATATGCACATATTTCTTAGATCTATTCTGCTCTTAAGTTCCTCCGGTGGAACCTCCCAAGGAACACGTGGAAGGCAAGAAAGTGATTCAGCAGAAAATTCAGAAGACTGAATTGCATTTTCAAATAAAATTGCAGCAATATGTGATTCAATCTCTCCACCCCTCCCGAAAACATGCATGACACAAGCTTGCGGGAGATAATTTTCTTCCCTCCAATCATCAATTTGTGCAGCAACAAGTTCCATTTCTATTGTTTCATCACCATCCTCCAATCTTTTCTTGATGACATCAGGCAAGTCTCTCACAAATACCATCATTTTAGGAAACTTTGGGTCAGTTGGTGTCAACATAATGTACTCCCGGTTGGTAGATGACAATAAATTCTTTTTCTTCTTATTTTCCTTACTGCAACCTTCCCTATAAGAAAGGCACTGCTTAACACTAAGAAATCCAACAACAGCATCCCGACGAGGAGACCTTTCAATAATGGCCACAACGCTGCCAGTTGGTCTCTTTGATGGGAATGAGCTTATCAGTGCACACAACTTCTCTACTGAACTTGTAACATCATTCCGGTCATTGGAACAACCTGCCTGTGAAAGATCCAGTGCAGAAGAACAGTGTCCATTAACAGAACTATAACTATATTCTGACACAGAGTTGTGCTGTCCAATTACTTCCGGACCAACATTTGCACCAGAGGAAGTACCAACCTCATATTGAAAACCCTTCTCTGGAGAAAATGAGCCATTTCTACCATTTACATACTCATAAACTGCATCTACCTTGTTTTTTCCTTTGCAGCTATCACCAACCAACTCAGTGGCATCAGAGACGGAGTTATAATCCTCCAACGGAGCAGAATTGTTGAAAGTCCCGGTAGACCCTTTCATCTTAGTCCATGCTGAGAAAGGATCAACTTTTATCACAACAATGTCTCCTTCAACCTATGTGACAGAAAATGTTCCATCAAAAATGCATCGCTACAGGGATCAGTATATAACTTAAAAACACATTTAATGTGTGAACTATAATTTTTTTTTTTTTTAAGGAAATGAAAAGGAAAAAAGAGGCACAATTTGGGCACACATGCTGCCTGTCTGAAGAAGCTATAACTTTTTCACTATGAACCACCATAATAACAATAGTAATCTTTTTTTTGGGTGAATAACAATAGTAATCTTCATTTTAAGCATCTGGTAACAATGTAAATGTAAAGTATTGCCAGGTAAAATGTCCAAAATTAGTCACATGACCGATTAAGTAAATTGCATGTTTCATTTCCTTGAATTTTGACCCCTTGTTGCTTCAAATGAAAGGCAAAAATGGTTTCCCCAAGACTGTAAAAAGTTGTCAATGCATACCCATCCCCACAAAAATGTTATTGCATTTATAATCTAATGTAACAGTTCACTAATTGCATCCACGGTGTTTGCATAGACTAACAAATCAAACTTGTTAACTTCTAAAACGAAAAACAATGAAGTACAAATTTGAATCATTGACTATCTTTCTGGATGCACAAATAAATGCTTTAAGATAATAGTTCAAAAGATCTAAAAAATAAAAATAAATGGACCTCAAGTAAAGATAATACTGATCAACCCAACAGTTTGTATTTTATGATATACTAAGATGTCATTCTTTGGCAATGAATTAAAGAAAAAATGGGAATGCCAATGATTAACAGTATACAGCTGATGAAGGAACAGAAAGCAAACAAATCAAGATTAGTGAGTTAACTTCCTATCACTTTATATCCATTAAATGCACAATGTACAAAAAGTACGCAGACAATTAAAGTCAACAGCACTTCATTTAGAAAATCACTAGAAAAAGCAACCTCAGACTTACAGCTCTATTCTGAGCAGCAATTCCACTGATGAGAACATCTGTTTGAACTCCATCGATTTTGCAATAGGCCTAACAACACAGAACAGTGCACAATATTTGCATCATAATAGAACAAGGAGATGCAACAGAAATACAGGGAAAAAATTATAACGCACCTCAAGTCTGTTGTGAGCATTCACACGAAACAGCGCTTTAAAGACATTGCCTTTCTGCAGAATTAAACACTAAATATGATAACAACCTTCTTCTTCTCCATGATGTATTTACATGGTCTAAAAAGATCAATAATTCGGAGCAATAATAAACAGCATCAAAACAAATGCTGATTGAAATACATTGGCAGACTGACCTCTAATGCCTCATTAACAGATTCAACAGACCAGTGAGGAGCAAAATATTTTCTCTGATGACAGGTTTGATGCAACATAAGAAAATCCTTACTTGCATATAACCCCATTGACTCCTCACAAGCAATTGTCTTGGGATATGATTTTAAAAGCATTCTTCCACCAGAATCAGACGAAAACAGTAGCTGATTTTGCATACTTCTAACCTCCTGTGGTGCTGTTTGTTCATTTATATGTATTGTTGGCAATGAATTAAAAGCAACATTACATGCTCCAGGCAGTTGTTGCTCGTTTGGTGTGCCACTACTCCCCATGACTTCTGAAGGTTCTGCAGGTAATTCATTTAGTGAACAACAATCTGCTCCAAAAACACAAAATTGAAACATCAGAGCTAACACAGATAATCTCAGTACCCAACAAACACATCCATTTCACAAATATAGGGGAGAGTGTAGATAAACGAGGAGGAACCAAAACTTAGAAACCATAAACAGTTAATAAAATTCACGTTCCAAAAGAATCAAGTTGCAGTTGAAAAGCAAGTAGATGTATGATCTATACTCTTGAAAACTCCATCCGCATGATGTTATCAACAAAACTAACGGAATGAAAATAAGTAATAACCCGTCTGAAGTAGTTTAAAAAAACAGAGTCAGGAAACAACATTTAGATAATTCCCAAATAGCCTGAGTTAAAACTGGTTCTTTTTAACTCAGGTTTATTGAAAAGTTTCCGACAACAACAAACCCAACCATTTTCAATTTCTTTTTCTATTTTATGCTACTTTGAGAACAAAAAACATTATTTTTTTTTAAATAACTCTACCAAACATAACCAGAATTTTGATTCACATGGCCATTTGGTTTCCAAAAAGAACTCAAAGGTCAAATAATCGAACGATTACAATTATGTAGATGTTCTTGTTTTTCCTATATGCAAATTTTTTTAACAGATAAATTGTCTTCTCATTACCAGGCAGAGTATCTTTTCCACACGAAAAACACAAAATTGCTTCCTCTCACTTTGTCACAAAGAATAAAGGACAACCATATATATATATATATATATATATAAAGAGAACCTTAATTCAACTAAAGACAAATATTTGCAGTAGAATCAATTTAAGTGGAAACCCAAATTCAAAATCATGACTTTTCTTTCCTTCAGTTTCTCAGCCACCAAAAATAGCCTTTAAATCATAGTTCACATCCAACAACTAAATGGTTTTCACTTCGCCAACCAAAAACAAAAAAACCAATGATTGATAGCAATGACTACAACAAGAATTTCAAAGAAGATGTCAAACAATTTAACATATATATATATATATATACATATGTGAAATTACCTGAAACAGAGGAATTTTGTTTGGATCGTCGATTGGATCGACGCTTCTTCTTCTTATCCTTATCAACATCCTCAGTCTTCTCAACTTGAGATTGCTCAACAACTGCCCCTCTCATAATTCAGCTGATAATCCAAAATTGTTAACAACCCAGAAATTCAAATAATAAATCAATTAAACCCAAGGAACTAAATCTCAAAAAAAAATAATAGATCGAAGAAAAAAAACGAAACCCTAGGCTAAGCTGAGAGTCGGAAATCTTCCGATTGGTAAAAAATATTTACGGAAGAAACCGATGAAGAGAGAAGGGGGGAAGAGAGAAAGAACAAAAGAATCTGAGAGAGAAGAGAAGATGGATAGAGATAGGGTTTTATATATAATCGTAGAGAGAGAGAGAGGAGAGGTGGTTGAAGGAAGGAAGGAAGTATTGAAAGGGACGTTATTACCTTTAACTGGTCGGCGAAAGACATGGGCGCCGACTCTGATTCCTTTGTCTTCCCTCTTTTACTTTTTGCCCCATCATCATCTCTCTTTTTTTGATAGATGGGAGGACCTTAGACATCAAAAAATAATTTTGTGGATCTCTTCCCTTATAAAAAGTGGGGGAGGGACCCTAGACCAATTTTCCCAAAAAAAAAAGGTTCATTTTTATAGATACGTATGACATTAAAATCTAAAAATTATTTTGTCTCAATTATAAAGATTTGATTAATAGAATAATTTTGTGACAATAATAAATTTTTGTTTACTTTATTTTGCTGTCAGTATTCTACTATCACTAGAAAGTGCATTGGCATCGAAAAAGTTGGTGAAGAAAGTCAGCAATAGCTGGTGGTGGTAGTGATATATACAAATAAGTGACACTTGACAAATAGGTAACACATGTACGGAGACAATTTTGAAAGTTAGTTTTTAACTTTCAATTCATTTTAGGTCACATCATGGGTGCCTCTATTTACACACCACATTTTATCTTAAAGCACACCATTATTCAATGCACGTCTTTAGTAATTTAAAAAATAAGAATTTTGCTCAATACACACCACAATGTTTCATTTTTACCCTTAGTCACACACCCACCACCACTACTACCACTTGTAACCCAACTCCGTCGCTGGCGCCGATGTAGCCCCTTTCCCTTTCTCTCTTTTCTTCGTCACTAGTACCGTCATTCCCCGGTCTCCTCATTTCTCCCTCACTCGTACTGTCTCTTCCTCTATCTAGCCATCTCTTTTTCTCACCAATTCTTCCCAACTCCCTCCTGTTCCCCGCCACCCCTTCCCTAACCCTCTTCTGTCAATGCCATAACCCCTAACCCTGTAAATCTTGAGCAAGAGAAAAGAGAGAGATTCAACGAAGAAGTGAAGAAATAGTAGCAGCAAACCAGTGTCGAACAAATTATCGATGTTCTGATATTGTCTTCCGAACTAGTTTACAATGTTCGAAAGTTGCATAACGAACTTCAGTCGCGAGTTCGGATGTTGCAAACCAAACGTGGTTTTGCGATGTAACAGTGGTGAGCAGTGGAAGAGGGCAGCGATTTTAGAAGAAGAAAATAGGAGAGGTAGTAGTTGTGCGTAAGGTAGAGGAGAAGATGATGGTTCCGGTTAAAGAGAGAGGGGTTGCAGTGGTTCTAAGAAGAGGGAAGAACGGTGGGGTGAAGAAGGGCGAGGAGAAGATGAGTGATATCAGTGATGGAGTGGCTGTGGAGAGAGATCACGAAAGTGGAGAGTTAGGAGATGGTTGGCGTTGTGCTGGGAGTGATGGCGATAGCAACACATTTTCGTTGAGTCGAGGGGTTGGCTGTTAGGGTTTCAAGAAAGAAGATGAGGGTAATTTGGATATTTAATTGATGGATATAATTGTAATTATATTTTTTTTAGTGTGCCTTGAGATAAAAAATGGTGTGTAAATAGAGGTACTCTCATATCATCTCTCATATTTTTTATACACAACAAGACAAAAAGGTCAAGAAACCTGCTTTTAACTAACTTTCCAAAGCACCCAATAGACAAGTAACGCAAACAAATAGATATATAGGTAAGAGTAATATAATTTTGTAAATTGTTATTATTTTTATGACTCCAAAACATAAGAACTTGGAGTTATTACTCAAAAAAATTAAAAATTAGATTTATTACTTGAGTATTTGTTTTTTCTATATTTTTTATGATAAATTACAAATACATTCTTTGATATTTGTTTAAAATACAAATTGTCCCATTTGATTTTAAAATTTGCAAATATCCCTTGTTTAAATTTTTTATTTAACAGAAATAATTAAAAAAATGATATTCATAACTACTCTTCTATATAATGATAAAATTGCTTGAAATATTAATTGAAATAAATTGCTGATATCATTAAAAAACTGTTAATTGACTTAATAATTTATTAACAAAATGAGCCATTTGTTATGAAATTAGAAATTTCAAGAGATCGGGTGTAATTTTCAGACTTATATGGAGCAAATCGTATTTTAAGTAAACATCATGAATGTATTTGTAATTTGCTCCCCCTTTTTATATTTCAATGGAAGAGCTGTATTTACCAAACCCATCTTAATTTTAATTTTTTCATTTTTATTTACAAAATTTAATTTTAAAATCTATTTTCAAACACAAATTTTAAATTTTTTTCTTAGAGTAGTGGAATTTGAAATTGGTTTAAAACAAAAATAAAAAACTCAAAGCTGTGAATGTTGCATTAAGGATATGTTTGCCACCGAATTTTAAAGTTTTAGAAGAGGTGTTGAAATAAAAGCTCTTAGGACTTATTTTTTATTTTTTATTTTTTATTTTAAAGTCATGTTTTGCTTTTGATAATAAGTAAATATATATATATATATATATAACATGCAGTAATTTATCTTCAGGGTTGAAACATAACTCACTAAAATAACATGCAGTAATTTATCTTCAGGGTTGAAACATAACTCACTAAAATAAAATGATTAAAGTAAAAAATAAAAATACTAAGTGGTATGTCAATTACTTAAAAATAATGAGTTCATTATATCCAATTTATAATATTTTTTTGCTACACTATTGATTTAAGCTACTACATAAATAAATCACATTGTGTTCTCAAAATATCAAATAACTACTTATTGTGAACAATACAATAAACATTTAGCCAAAGATCATGTTAAGAAAAAAATAGAATACATTTTATACATGACAATAACAAAAAAATAAATAAAAAATTCAGAACTAAGGGGACACGTGACTCCCCTGATCCTGTTGTGCCTCCGTCCCCTGCATAGAGTAATTATGGTAAAATTTATAAAGTTCAGGGTAGTTATTTATTTATTTTAATTTGTAAAAGAAATTAGGATAAATCATCATAAATTTATTATTTATTGTTCTAATAAATTTAGAAAAATTTACCAATAAATCCAATCTTAAGGAATAGTGATCCGTTTAGTTCCAAGAATTTTTTTATGAACCAATTAATTCATTGATTTTGAAAACGTAAATTTAATATACTATTATTTGAAAATTGAATTTACGGTTATACCCTTATTTCTATTATGTTTTTCCTTTTCTTTTTTTTCTGCTTTTATTTTGTGTTAGAGAGGTAAGATGCACAATTTATGAGAATCAAATTTATGATGAATTTTTGTATGAAAATCTTTTTTATTTGTAAAACATTTCAAAATAAGTATAAGAATAACTTAAAATGTGAGATTTTTTAAACATTCTAAAATGATATGAGATTCTTCAAACTAAAGAGTACAAAAACTCCTTACTAAGCTTTGGAAATTTATAATTTTAAACTGTAACATTCCAAAAAAATTCTTTAGTATACTTTTTCTAAATGTAACATTCTAATATAACATCTTAAAAAAACTACTTAGTATAACATTCTAATATAACATATAAAAAAACTTCTTAGTATACTTTTTTCAAAAGTAACACTCCAATGTAATACTGTGAAAAGAAGACGTGTGATTCTTCAAACCATTCTAAAAGGAATACAAAAATTATGTATAATTTTAAACTGTGAATGCTATATTTGGAAAAAAGTACATGTACGGGGAGCAAATATTCCGCAGAGCCCGTACTCCTTTCTACCAAGCTCCTTGTCCGTCCGATCGACCTATGAACACAACGGCGGTAAGCCACCCGGCAGTGTGTGGCCGGAAAACCCCTCCGACGGTTAAGTTAGCACTAACTCAAGGATCTAGAGAGAGAGGAGAGAGTTTTGTGTTTAGGGTGTTCTCATCAAATGATGTTTTGTCCCCAGCATGGGGGACGCAGACACGCTTATATACTTTCTGCGCCCAAATCTGCTCCCATTAGTCTCTTGACACATGGTGTTGCACTTCCATCTGTCAGCACAAATCCTGCAATCACCACCTAACCAAACCGTCAGGCTATATTACCGGAGCCCGACAGACCGGCAGAACCACCTCGGCCTTTCACAACCGCATTGCGCAGCGTACCCGAGTGCTCCACTCACCGAGCTCCAGAACGACCGAGTTCGGTTGCATTCTGGCAAACCGAGTTCATGATAGGTCGAGCCAGCAAAACGAAGGCCTTCTTGCCGCGCTAAACGCGTGAACCGTAGAATCTAGCATGGCAGGCAATCATCTCGGCCGAGCAACTCAAGTGGCTCAGTTTTCTATATAGACAAGCCCAAATAGCTCGGTCCCCACATGGCCCTAGGTCTCAACCGAGCAAAACCTTATCTAGATTAGCCCAAGCTATCATGCCCCAAACATGTTCGGCCCCTCATTTTGCTCGGCCTTACCATGGCCCATTCCATCTCATAAATCTCCCTCTCAATTGCCCCTTAATTCCGTCCGCGCAAGTGTGACTGGGATTACATGGTCCATCCGGGGTAGACTCTTTCTTGATCCCAAGTTTGCAAGATGTTAACCACTCTAATCTCCATGCCCGGTTTCTGGGCTTGCTCGGTCGTTGCCTCAATCTGCCATCTTGTCTCTTCAGAACTGACGCCGCCGCCATTATGAACACGCGTCGTGCATTTATTGGCCTCGGGTAACTAACCCAGACGTCCTTTCATATTCAAATTTAGGCGGCTTTTCACTCCTATAAGTACGTCATTTTCCCTTCACTTTCTCTTCTTACTGCCTCTCTTCCGTTCCTGGCGCCTTTGAGCTACAGTGCTTAACCTCCATTCTTGTTCTTCTTCTTCGTTCGTGCTCAAAGAAGTAGCCTTTGCCTCCAAACTGGTAAGTTCTTCGAATCCTCTTTGTTACTCTTTTTTTATTTGGTATTTCACATTCTAGGGCATAGAGTCCATAGGTTTTAGGATATACCCCCCCCAAAGACCCTCTCATGCCCCTATTCTTTTTCGCTGTTCTTCAATTCCAGTGATGAACACAAGAAGATCTGGAGCGAACCGGGCTCCTGGTCTTCTTTCAATCCCAAAAAAATAT